CTTTTTATCTCATAGGGGAGATGCTGTTCTGTCTCCTAACTCCACACTTCTCAGGCCTAATGGGGATCTTGTTAAAATGCCAATTTAATGGGTCTTGGATGGGGCCTAGAATTCTGCATTACTAACTACTCCAGAGATGCTTATGCTGCCAGAATACAGATCACTCTTTCAAAATTGAGGTCCTAACTCATACATAATCTCTTGTGCACTTAGTAGGCACTTACTGCACATGAAGAGCTCAGAGGAAGACATGATCTTTAAGGAGTGGCAAATGCACACACCACAGTATGAGAAGGTACCTTGTCAGTTTCTCTACTCACCCCCGGATCGCTCCCGATCTCCTTCATAACCAACCTTCACTGAGTGGACTTAGGTGCCAGGTACTCAAGAGGGAACAAGGGATTGGGGAGGGAACTGAGCCACATCGCTGCCCTAAAAACACGGCAGTGGCTGTAGAAACATCCACAAACATGGGCCGGCTGTACCAGGTGCCATCAGTTTGTCCTAAAGCCTCTGGTTGGATGTCTGGGACTACAAAGACAGGAAGACACTCCCTGTCTATCCTCAGAACACAGTAGTAGGTCTCCCTTAAATGGTCTTTGATGTGCCAGAGGGTTAGAAAATCTTGAAAAGATTGCTTATCGGAAACAGGACTATGGACAAAATCATAGGATGCTCTCAGTGGGTCTGGGAGTTCGAAAGACATCTATTTAGCGTAACTGTCAGGGGTACTCACAGGTAGAAAGAGCACTGGACATAAAGTCAAGACTCATTTCTTTACCAGCTCATCTGTGTCCTTGGGCAAGGCACATGTTCTCCGTCATTTTTACATGTTGGAGGGCGTGACAAAATCAGTGATTTTTGTTAGCGGCAGTAAAACCCATATTTTCCAAATTATATTTCATCTAGAACATCAATATCTAAAACAAACCACAAGCCACTCACATTGAATCAGTTGGGAGTCTGTAGCCCAAACACTTGGAGCAGGTACCCCCAGAGAACCCACCTGGAAAACTATAGGAGTGGATTAGTTCTAAGAGCCCTTCCCAAAGTTCTTCCATTCTCTTGCAGTGTATCCAGGGAGCATAGAAAGGAGTAATTGCTGATTTAGTGCCCTCCATAGTGCTTGGTAATTCGCACATTATTTGTCATTGAAATCTTCGCTACAGCAACATGGTTAATTAGCATGTGAACTCAGATCTTTTGTGATCCGAGTAGTGAACTGAAATCTGCTGGCAAGAGGCAACTAAGATTTGAACTGAGGCTTTTCTGACGCCAAACAATATTCCTCCCATTCCACAAAATACAGTGCATCCTTGACTTGTGAACTCAATTCATTTCTGAGGGCCAGTTGTAACTTAAGGTGTTCAGCTGAAGGCTCACACTCCTCTACACAGCCTTCAAAGTACACAGGCAGATCTCAGTGTCCTTAGAGAGACATTAGCCCAGGATTTCTCAGTGAATCCCACACAGGAAAGGATGTAATGTTCCTTCCAAAACTCTTTAAGAGTTAAATCTGTATCTAAGATTATCTGGAAGCACAAGCTGCTGGCATTCAGGTTGTAACTCAAAACTTTGGTCATAAGTTAAAATTAAAATTCCAGTCATAACTAAGGTTGTTTGTATCTCAGGTCATTTTCACTCAAGGGTCCACTGGATTCCTTTAATATGATGAATACTGGGTATTGGGTTAACAATAATGTCCCTGAATTGTAAATACTAATATATATGCATAAGGGAAAACTTGAAAAATATGTCCCTCAAAATTATCATTAGTTATCTCTGTGTGGTGATAATATGGATGATTTCCAGTCTGACTACAGACATTCCTCATTTAACCAGAGTCATGTTCCTGGGGCTAGTGTTAAGAGAATTGGTTGCTAAAGGAGAGATTGTATACAGTATGTAGATTACAATATTCAGAACAAAGAAATGGTCAAAGGAATCTCCAACTTGATGACTTTGCTTTTATTTGCATAATTCTTACATGCAGTACTGTATCGCAGAACATAAAACAACAATAAAGTACTGTACAGTACAATCAGCAAGAATTACAGTACTACACTGTAGAAGAAGCTAGCATAAGGCAGCACTGCTGCTCATGTTCCTGTGGGAGTCCTAATTTGGGTCCTAAATCCAAGCAGTGGGTCATATGCCCAAACAGTCATTTAACAGATGGTTTGTTAAACAAGAAATATCTGTATTTATATTCTCTAAGTATCCTGTAATGAACAGGTATTGTTTATATGAAATAGGTAGTGCTTGTTAAAAGCTATGTTAATAATTCATAATCGTGTTGGGTTTCTATAGCAAATTAGGGCCTGGAGGGATAGGAGGTATCCTAGACCTTTTGGAGTGAACAGTGGGACTAACAGCCCTAAATCCCATCAACACTCCCTTAGGCCAGAGGGTAGTGGGCTGACCAGAGGGGTAAATCTTACGTACATTTAGGTTCTCAGAAGTCTGCCTTCTCCAGTGGGGTTGTTTTAGAAAATAAAGCAAGTGGCTGAGACCCCTCTCAAACATGTGCCTCCCCTCTCTCACCCCTCAACTCCTCCAATAGAAGGAAGGCGCTAAATGCACCAAAGATGGTCACATGACCCTGGACCAGAAGCCCTTGCTCCCAGCCCAGTAGGACCTACAACAACTGAACTCTGCTGCCCCACCCTTGGGGCCCTCCAGAAGCCACTGACATTCAAAGATCACAGGACTACTTTGGGAGAGAAAGTACTACCCTGAAAACAAGGCAGGCTTTGGTCAGGTATGAGGCGTGGCAGGGCGTTCCAGTATTCCCTGTATTCCTCATGCCAGCTTAGCCTGCAGGAATCTTCTAAATATTTAACATGCCACCTCCAGGTACGGTGAAAACCCCCAGCAGTTGGCAACAGCTGTGGGGGCCTTCATGGGATGACTTTGGGCTGACAGGCACAGACACAGGCTTTGGGAGGAAAGCCCAGAATGGTGCTTTGGAGACAATGCTCATTGCTTCTTTGACAATCCCTGAAGAAGGAAAGTAGACAAGCGATGCGTGGAAACGTGGGGAATGGTGCTGCATCATCCACGGGAGTCCAGAGCCCCTCTTTCTCAGACAAAGAAAAAGCCCAGGCACGTGCCCCTTTGCCATGGCCTCCCCAGACCCATTCCAGCCCTGCCCTCCCCCAGCAGGTGGCAAATCTGTCCTGACCCAGGTAAGTAAGGCTGGGGAAGAAGACAGACGTGAAAGACAAAAGCAAAACAAAACAAAAAAAAGTCCCCCACGCCCATCCGCAAGGACTTCACACGGGCGTCACCCGGGATGACTCTTCGGTCCTGCACAGCCCTGGGAGGTGTCACCGCCACCGCCCCAGGGGCTGTCACTTGGAAATGAAATTATTCCCGTGCATTCCCAGAAATGCCTATCTCTACCCCACCCCAACCCCGCAAAAGGAATCAGACCTGGAGAACCCAGGTGTCTTCCCTGAGATTTACACTTGTCCTCTTATGACCTACCTGCCTTTGCCGCTGCAGATTTAAGAAACCTAAAAAGGAGTATTTTTTTTTCCAACCCCTTTGGGAGCCCCGCCTCCATCGCTCCCTCCACGCGTCTCCGCGCTGACCCCTCCAGGCAGCGCCCCTAGCTTGTCTGTCATTTTCACCTGACAAAAGGGTGGCGACCGGGCGCGGCAACTGGCACCCAAAGCATTTGTCCCGCAGGAGCCAGAAGCCTGTCCCCTCGGCGCGCCCATATGGGGCCTCTACAGATCCGTCCCACACAGGGAACAAAGCGGCCGGGGAGCGGCGAG